TGCCTCAAGATTTGGAGCTATTTTATTTATAGGGTAATTGACAATCTTCAGTCAGCTCTACATAGGGCTGGTGGATAAGTTTACAATTCCATTTGAGACAAAATATTTTCTAGCAGATCTCAGCTTCTTTTGTCAAGGGGTGGCTCACTGCTATTTTTTAATACATTTTATTGATTATACTATTACAGTTGTCCCATTTTCCCCTCTTCATTCCCCTCCACCCTGCACACCCCCTCCCACCCACATTCCCCCCCTTCAGTTCATGTCCGTGTGTCATAAATTCTTTAGCTTCTACATTTCCCATACTATTCTTGCCCTCCCCCTATTTTATACCTACCATCTATGCTACTTATTCTCTGTACCTTTTCCCCTTCTCTCTTCCTCCCACTCCCCTGTTGCTAACCTTCCATGTGATCTCCATTTCTGTGGCTCTGTTCCTGTTCTAGTTGTTTGCTTATTTTGCTGTTGTTTCAGGTGTGGTTGTTAATAACTGTGAGTTTGCTGTCATTTTGCTATGCATGTTTTTTATCTTCTTTTTCTTAGCTAGGTCCCTTTAACATTTCATATAATAAGGGCTTGGTGATGATGAACTCCTTGAACTTGACCTTATCTGAAAAGCACTTTATCTGCCCTTACATTCTCAATTAAAGCTTTGCTGGATAGAGCAATCTAGGTTGTAGGTCTTTGGTTTTCATGACTTGGAATACTTCTTTCCAGCCCCTTCTTGCCTGTAAGGTCTCTTTTGAGAAATCAGCTGACAGTCTGATGGGAACTCCTTTGTAGGTGACTGTCCCCTTATCTCTTGCTGCTTGTATAATTCTCTCCTTCATTTTATTTTATTTTTTATTTTAAAAAATACTTTATTTGTGTTTAGAAAGAGGGGATGGGAAGGAGAAGGAGTGGGAGAGAAACATCAGTGTGTGGTTGCCTCTCATGTGTCCCCAGCTGGGGACCTGGCCTGCAACCCAGGCATGTGCCCTGACTGGGAATTGAACTGGCAACCCTTTGCTTCACAGGCCCGTGCTCAATCCACTGAGCTACACCAGCCAGGGCTTTCCTTCATTTTAATCTTGGGTAATGTAATTATAATGTGCCTTGGTGTGTTCCTATTTGTGTCCACTTTCTTTGGGACTCTCTGGCTTCCTAGACTTCCTGGAAGTCTATTTCTTTTGCTAGATTGGGCAAGTTCTCCTTTATTATTTGTTCAGATAAGTTTTCTACTTGTTGCTCTTCCTCTTCTGTATAATTTGCTCTTCTGGTACCCCTATAATTCGGATGTTGGAACATTTAAAGATGTCCTGGAGGTTCCTAAGCCTCTCCTCATTTTTTTATAAATTATTTTTCAAGTACAATTTTCTGTCTGTTACTCCCATCCCAGCCCACCCTGCCCAGTGCTCCCCACCTCTCTCCCATTTCCACCCCCCTTAGTTGCTGTCCATGTCCTTTATACTTGTTCCTCTATCTCCTCGTTTTTTTGAATTCTTGTTTTTTCATTCTTTTTTTGTTTGGTTGTTTCTTTCTTCCTTCTGGTTCACTCCATTTTTTTGAGTCCCAGTTTTCTTCCCATCACTATTGGTTCCCTGTGCATTTGCCTTCATTCCACTTAGTGTAGCCTTCATTTTTTCATGTAATTTGTAGCCAAAATCAAACAATCTGTGAGCATCCTGATCACCAGTGCTTTGAGTTGTGCATCTGATAGGTTGGCTATCTCTTGGTCACTTAGATGTATTTGCTGTGGGGCTTTGATATGTTCTTCTGTTTCGGCCATTTTTTGGGGGGTGGGTATCTGGTTGCACCTGTTACAAGTGAGTGGCTGGAGCCTTAGGTGTTCACCAGGGTGGGGAAACCCAGGTTGCTGGGCTGTGATGCTGTATATGGAGGCGGAGTCAGGGAGGGAATAATGGCGCTTGCTCCACTCTGTCTAGGATTTCAGTCCCCTCTGCCACTTCTCACAAACAAATTGGGCCCTTCTGGTGCTGGTTCCCAGGTGAGTGGGCTTGTGTACGTTCTAGGACCCTGTGGGTTTCTCCGGCGAACTCTCCTGTAAGACTGGGAGTCTCTCCCAGCATTTCAACCCCCACAAGCGTTTTCAATTTGTGTTTTTAGGCTTTATTTCTCCACACTGGAGCTCTGGGTTGCACAGTCTGTCTTAGTGCGCATTTTTGCCTGGTTTTTCTGCATACAATGTGTGACCGAGGTCAGCCAGACGCCTAGCGAACCTCAGTGGGTCTGCTCGGTGCCACCTGGGTGGTCTGCCAACTGCCAACTGTGTGCCCAGGTCTGCCACTGCTTTTTCCTGCTGCGACCCCTCTCCACCGGTTGCCGACTCTGCCCCTCTTACCGGTCTGGATGAATGGTTGTCGGGCTTCTGTACAGTTCAATTTTCTGTCAGTTCTGAATGTTTTTTTGTTTCTAAATTTTTGTTGTCCTTAATTTTCGTTGTGGGAGGAGCTACAGTGTGTCTACCTATGCCTCCATCTTGGCCGGAAGTCACTGCTATTTGTTTACATGAGCAGTTATCAAACTCTCTGGTCTCATGACCATTTCACACTCCTAAAAAGTACTGAGGACTCCCCAGATCTTTTATGTGAATCTTATCTATCGACATTTACTGTTAGGAATCAAAACAAACCTATAAAATATTTTTATTCATTCATTGAAAAACAATAATAAATCTGATGTATGTTCACATAAATAACATTTTTAAATGAAAACTAACTACCAAAACAAAAAGAGTTTAGTGAAAAGAGTGGCATTATGTCACCATTCTGCAGATCTCTTTAATGTCTGGCCTAATTCTCAAATCTGCTTCTGTACTCAATCTGTTTTACAAAACATGTTCACTGTGGAAAACTCCATTGTACTTTCATTACAGTGCAAAAGGCAAATAAAGTCTTACTATGAAATCATTTTGATCCTAGCCCCCCTGACCATGCTTTCAGAACAGCTGATTTGACATCACTATACAGTAGTCTCCCCCATCCACAGAGGATATGTTCCAAAATCTCTAGTGGACACCTGTAAGTGCAGATGGTGCCAAACCCGACATATAATCAATACTATGTTTTTTTTTAATGCATACATACTTATGGTAAAGTTCAATTTGTGAGTTAGACACAGTAAGATATTAGTAACAACATAACAGAATAAGTATAACAATGTACTGTAATCCAAGTTATGTTAAAATCACTCACTTCAGGGAATCCCTTGCTGAGGATCGGTACTTTCTGGTGCAACACTTTGCTGTCAGTTGGAACACAAAGTTTTCTGTTCATGCATTCCATCCACAAATTTAATGCCTTTTTCATCTTAACTAAGTAAGCACTTGTCACACACTGTGGCCATAATTTTTGTAGTTTTAGGTGCAATAGCAAAACTACCATGAATTTCTTTCTTTTTTTCACAATTTAACAGATGGAAGATTTATTCTTAGCAACCTCAAAATATGATTTTTTTTTCTTTCCTTATTAAGTCAAGAATTTTAACCTTTTGATTACAGCTTCTCTCTAGCATATAAGGATTGCCAGCCTCTTTGATCTAGCACTTTGGGGCCATTAAGTAAAAAAAGGTCTTGAACACTGTGATACTGGGACAGTGGATCTGATAACCTACAGGGCTGGCTACTAAGTGACTGATTGGTGGGGAACCTAATGCTCATGGATAAGCTGGACAAAAGGATGATTCATGACCTGGTCAAAAGGGAGCAGGCTGGCTCAAGATTTCGTTTCAGTATTCAGAGGTGTACAATGGAAAACTTATAACTTGTTTACTAAATTGTTTATTTCTGGAATTTTTCATGTTTTCAACCCATGATTGATGGCAAGTAAAGTGAAACCACTGAAACTGAAGAAAGTGAAATCCCAGACAAGGGAGAAGTACTCGTTATTTTCTTGTTGCTTAGGGCTCCCAAAGTAACCTTTCTCTATTTCTGTATCTGTATAATGAACCCCACCTCTTAGATAAGAGTCAATTGTTAATTACTAATCACTATACTTTTTAGCATCCATGGAAAACTTCAGAAACGATTTTTGACGGACAGTAAGTTTTAGAGAAGGCATTCTTCCCTTTCTCTGACAAGGGAAGATGATCTCCTTCAAAGTATGCTTCCTGATAGTAAGGCTTTCGTCTTTTAGGAATACAATGACCAAAGAAAATGTTAGACTAAGATAAAAAACAACATTGGGTGTCTTTTATGCTACAACACAATCTAATATCTACCAAGTCCTTTCTGTATGTTATACTTGTGCTAGGAACATTAGGTACATTATCATTAATTCTCACAATAATCCTACCAGGTATCTACCCTTACTACTATTCTACACGTGAAAAAACTGAGATACAGAGAGGTTAACCCCCAATGTTATATGGGACTGGGCCAGGAACAGAACCCAGAGAATGAAGCGCAGAGTCCATTATCTACCTATAAAGTATAAAGATGGGCGATGGGGCGAGATTTGCACGACAGCAGAGGTGATAAAGGGAGCTTAAAAAGCAAAAGCCTCAGGACCATTCTTGGTATTATACCAGAGATGTACTTTATTACTTTCCCCCGGAAGCTTCTTTTCTGCTTTATTTTTTAGGCTACTATGCTCCCCTTCTCATATTTATGATATTTCCTTGCTGGTGGCTTCATTTCTTAGTCCTGAGGCTGATCCTGCAACTGATGCGCTAAATAACAGTGAAAAGGCTCTGGGCAAATCCGCTGTAACCACGAGGACGACGGCGTGCTGAGCAATTTGCGCAGGCGCGTTACCTCCCAGGCCAGTCTACCGGCCCCACCTCCTGACTTGGCAGGCAAGCGGAGAGTGTGGGCGTGGGCGACGGGTGTGGGCTGGGTGTGGGGGCGGGAGCGAGGCCGGGCGGGCGCCTGCGCAGTCAGCGGGACGCTGGTGTGATAGAGCTCACGTAGAGAGGTCTGCAGTCGCCTCCTATCCTGTGTTGCCGTGGCGGCCTAGAGGTTATAAAAAGGCTTACTGGCTCCCTCTGCCGCCCAGTCGTGCCGCCAGCGGGTAGAAGGAAGGCAGTAGGTATCCCGCCCGTGTGCAGGCAACAGGGGACTGAAGAAGGCGCTCCCGTCCTACTTCTCAGGTGAGACGCTCCCCGGATCTTGGAGACCGAGGCCGAGTCCCTCAAGCAGCTGTGGTCCTTCTCGGACCGACCTGGTGGTCTGGTCCCTGTCCCTTTTGGTGGGATGGCTTGGGGGGCGAGGGTTCGCCAGTATTCCACCGCAGCCTCAGTGTCTTTTCTGGGCACTCGGCCCCTCGGCCTGCGCCGCGCGACCCCTGTCTGGCCCAGAGGCCCCTCTCTGCCCTGGTGTGTGGTCCCGTTCTCACCTCTTAGCTGGTGGGCGCCGCCAGCTGTTCGGGCTGCGGTAGCCTCCGTCCCCGCCCAGGGGACCAGAACTTTCGTGAATATTCCTTCCCGGGAAGGAGTCACCCTGTTGATTTTTCCGAGCTCCTCTCATACCTGGTCCTCCCTGCAAAGCTGATGGAACGCGCGTGCGGGGCATGGGGTTTTGGCTTCCCTGGCAGCAGATGGTTATCATGTGGCCATGGACAGTGGATTTTAAAGCTCAGAGCCGAAGCCCTCCGGGCATTTTTCCCACTATCGAAAAGCCACCGGGTGAAGGGAGAGAAGTACGGGGCTAACTCAACTGTTGCGCACGGTGGTGCAGCTCTTGTAGCTAGACGTAGCCCGGGGCGGCAAGTTGCGGACCGGTTGAGGAAGTCGGCTGTCAGATCACCCTGTCCTCGGGGAAGCCGTCTTTTCCTTCCTTCTTTTTACACAGAAAAAAAAAAAAATAAGGCACAGGAGCTTCTCCCCTTACCCTCTTTCTCAGCAGTTTGCTGCTTTTAAAGTCCACATTCGTAAAACGAATTCCATGGTTGTGTGAGAACCTTGAGTTGGAGTACATGAATGGCCCCCAGTTCTATGTCTTAAGGGGGAGCATACCATATGGTACCATAACCAAGAGACTATTTTCCTAAATAATCGAATATATTAAATACAGTCCAGTTTTTAGAACTAAACATCTATGCGTCCCGGATAGAGTGGAGAAGACTCTTGGAATTTTTGAACTGTTTGCTTTAGAATGGGATGAATAGGAACCTAGATCTATCTCCTTTTAGGAATTGATCTGAAAGGCGGGGGAGGCTTGCCAATTTCAACTTAACTGTTTCTGGTCTCTCCGAGAGCTGCGGCTCCGACTTTCTGTTGGAATGCACTCGCAGGGGATGAAATAGCCACTACGTGAGTGGGGGAGGGGAAAAGACGTGGCAGGAGTGTTCTTTCATCAACTCTTTTGGTCATTTTTTTTAAGGTTCTGGAAAGAAACATATTTCCCTTTTAGGTTTAGACGTAGCTTATGAATGAGGCTAGTCTTTTCCTAAAATAATCAAATGAAATATTCATTCCGCATAGCGGGAACACTGGAATTTAATTTATAAAACATTTCAAAGGGATTTTTCTGATCGAGTTTTTATGGAGCAAGCTTAGGCAGAAAATCAAGAAGCTGAAAGTGAACAACCTTGAATATGTTTGGCCTTGATTTGAAATTTAAATAGACGTTTCATGATTTTTCTTTAACTTTGGTTTTTAGCCTGTGAGTGTAAATTTCTTTTTGTGAGTGTAATTTTAGAATCTTAAATCTGAACTTTAACTTTTCTTGTTCCGTGGGAAGCATAGGTTTTATCACTTACCTTTAAAAGTTATGTCATTTTTGGTTTTGAAACATTATGCCTTAAGTCCCACCAGTATTTCGGATAGCTGATGGCAATGTTTCTTAAAAGTTTAACATAGACTTACTAGGAAAAGGACTGCTTTGCCTTTTTTTTAGGTGGCTAATGCTGTTTCCTTTGACCTCTTAAAGCGAGTTTTATTTTTAAGTACAGAAAGCCAGGGCATTGGTAAGCAGGTAATTACATTGGCCATTTAGTATTTAGTGTCTTGGTAACTAAAGTGGTAAAACAGATGACAAATTGTATACAACTTTTAATTATTGCAGAAAAATTTAGACAGCGCAAAAACTATTGAAAAAAGAAAGTTTATATCAGCTAGGTAGTCCAAGTTGTTGCAGGTGAATCTTTTAATTCAGGGATGCATTCATAAAGCTTGTGAGCCTTCATTTCTGTGGACAGAAAGCCTTATTTTACTTAGCAGTTAATAATCAACCGAGATATAATTACTGCTCTCAGATTTGAAAAGTGTACCCCGTAAAATACATAGTAGCAGTTCTCAACCTCTTTGAGTTCATGAAATCCATTGAGAATGTAATAGAGTGTGTGGGACCTGGGTCAAAAAATGCAAGTACATAGGCATACGTGAATGGAATTTTATATTCCCTTTACAGATACTCTCCTTTCTCCTCTCAAGCATATGCAGAAACTTATAAGAACTAAAAAATGAGGAGATGTGAACTTAATCTTCAAGGATATCTAGGTTTATTGAGGCAGTATTTCTTTTTTTTTTTTTTTTTGATAAAATATATGACTTTATTGGGATGAAGTATGGAAAAGCCCTTCAAATTTTTTTTTTTTATGGTACAGTCCCGATATTCGAATATTTCTGAAAATTGAGCTGGGCTTGTAAGTCTGACTAGATTGAGTATATAGATTATAATAAATAAACCTTTGCTAGAAGTTTATTTGACAAACGTTAATAGGTTGGTAGGAGAATTGTTGAATTGCTGAATTGTCTAGGCAAGCATATATCATATTTTCCCCCTTAGCCCCTCCCCACCACTGCCTTCAACATATAACATGTCTTTGGTTCTACTCTGAAAGCGGAAAATGCTTGAAGGTAAACAAAAAGTAAATTGCACAGGCCTTTGGTATTAAGCTCTGTTGCTCTTATAGTAAAATCTTGAACCCTATAATTCATAGTGGGCTGTGTGTGTGTGTTGTATGACTATGTAAGAGATAAACCAAATGAAATGTGTACGTATATTTGTGAAACTAGTTAAAGGCTTGCATTTCAACATAATAAAAATTTTTAAATCTGTTTATTTATTTTTATTTTTAATCGTCACCCAAGGATATGTTTGTTGATTTTAGAGAGAGAGGAAGGGAGAGGGAGAAACATCGATGTGAGAGAAACATCCAACTGTTGTCTCTAGCACGTGCCCACCTTGGGACTCAACCCAAAACCTAGGTATGTGCTCCGACCAGGAATGGACCCCGTACCTGTGGTTTCCCAGACAGTGCTCCAACCAACCGAGCCACACTGGCCGGGTGGTTTACGTATTTTTAACTTAAATAGTGTTATATCAGATTGATACACTAAGTCTCTTTCTCTTGATGGGCATTTGAGCTACTTCTCCATTTGTGAGTAGTGTCCTCCTATATGGTTACAGTAAACTTTAACCACTTTTATTCTAGCTGCATTTTCTTAAGGAAAAGAAACACATGTCAATAGTTTTTTTTTTTTTCTTTCCCCTGAAAGGATTTTCTTGGGAAATTGGACTGGGTCCTAAACAGATGTTTAAATCTACTTGATTACAACTAAGGCAGTTGACAATTTATAAAGTGTTGTTTTACATATTATATAATTTTGAGCATTAGAATAATTTTGCGAGGAAGTTTTATATCATCCCCATTTTACAAATGAAGAGCTAATAGTACTCAAAGAAGCTGGTACTCAAAGAAGTAATTTGTCCTAGATATAGTAAGTAGCAGAACTATATCTTGGACCCAGGTTGTCTGTTTTCTGATTCACACTTTATATTACTCCATCCTTGAGAATTGGCCAAACTGACTTTGAAGTAATGGGAGGGGAAAATAACTGAGCATATTAATAATGTATTAGAAAATTTTCAACATTAGGAGTTGAATTAAGGTAGGGTTCCTGGTTAGTAGTAATTAACTTAGTCATTCCACTCAATTTTAAAAGCATTTATAATATGCCCAGTACACATGGTGGGAAAATCAAAAGGCTAATGAGAAATGTTTCCTAGGAGAAATAAAACATAGATGTTACATGGTATGTAAGCACACTGCTAACATTTTACTTGATATTAAATCTGAATAAGTGTTGAATGGGAGCACATATCTAGGTTCACATCCTTTACAACTATGAATTTATTTTCCTCCATTCTAGTATATGTGGTTTTATTATGTATATATTTTCATCCATGTTGTATGTTATTCCTTTTTATTGCTGAGTATGTCTATCACATTGTATGGATATACCACAATTTTTTTTTGGTACACTTACCAGTTGATAGACATTTGGGCTGTTTCCAGCTTTCAGCTGTTATAAATAAAGCTGCTATGAGCATTCATGTACACATCTTTGGAGGGATATATATACCTTCTTTTCTCTTGCATAAATATGTGGGGATAGAACAGCTATATCATATGTGATAGGGGAATATTTTTTACCAGTCTGTGGCTTGTCTTCACTTTTTTAACAATGTGTTTCAAAGAGCAAGGACTGTCTTTATTCATGGACAGTATGTCTGTATAGAAAATTTGAAAGGTTAAAAAACTGTAGATCTAATAGGTGAATTCAGCTAGGTTGAAGGACGATCAATATCTAACAATCAATTGTATTTCTTTATAGCAAGAACAATTGGAAATTAAAATGTAAAAGTATCATCCTAACAGCACCAAAACCCATGAAACAACTAAGTATTAACTTTTACAAAATGCATCCAAGATTTGTATGTTTTAAACTGAAAGTTTAAAAAAACACTGATGAATTAAACCAAAGAAGACTTACATAAGTGGAGAGATTATTTCATATTTATGGATTGGAAGATTCATTCTTGTTAAGATTTCCATTCCTCCCATACTGACCTATAGGTTCAGTACAATTCCAGTCCAGATCTCAGCAGGATTTCTTGCAGAAGCTGATAAGCTAAATTCAAAATGGATGTGGAAAAAATAAACTAGGAAAGGCAACACGATTTTGAAAAAGAACAAAGTTGGAAAACTCACACTACCTGATTTCAACTTAAACTATATAGCTGCAGTACTCAAGTCAGTGTGGTATTGGAGAAAAGATAGGCATACAGATCAGTGGAACAAAATACAGAATCCAGACACACAAAAACGATCAGTTTGTTTTTGGTAAAGGTATAAAGGCAATTC